AGGATAAGGAGGGGTGCTGGGGGGAAACCCCCGTGCCAGCTCCAGGTCATTGCTCACGGTTTCACCCCATGGTGTATTCTGCCCAGCAGGTCCACAGCAGGGAGATGGAGCATCAGGAGCCCAGTTCCCATGGTGGATGGGGGGTCTCAGCTTCCACCCAGAAGCTGAAACAACTTCTTGCTGCCCAGGGAGCATGACAACTGCTGCCAGGCAGTCCCAAAGTGAGCAGGGAAGGCCACTCCAGAGCCCTTGAGGAGCTGAAGGTTTCATAGCCCGGGTCCTTGGAGGCCTCCTTTGGTGCCCCGCTGCCCAGCAGCGAAGTGCCGCCACCTCCTTGATCTCTAAAAGCCAGGTGTGATGAAGCCAAGTGCTTCCCAGGCTTGATCCTGGCCAGCAGGCACCATGGGAGCCCCAGGCTCTGCTACCGGTGAGCGCAGAGGCGACCTTCTTGTGCGGTGCTGACTCTGCTGCCAGTGTCCCCAGCCATGGTCACTGCGGGGTTGGGGGCAGCAGAGGTGGCCACCACAGTCCAGTGCCTTTAAGCAGGACAAAACTTGCTTCTAAGGCTGAAAAAGAACCAGAAAAAAAATCAAAACTAAACAGCCAAGCACCGGCAGTGGCACGGGGTGCCAGACAGCATGGCTGCGGAGACCCCCCAGCTGCACACTGGGGCTGTCAGGCTGCAAACCCCATCCCTCTGCCCAAGCAGGGCAGGCTCGTCGTCCCCATAGCCCGCCGGCAAAAGGCTGACCAGAAGTGCGGCATTTATTTACTCTGTGCACATGGCCAACGCCACAGGCAAGGCACACAAGGGGGTTGGGGCCAGGGGTTAGCTGGAAGCGAGTCAGTAGGTCTCAGTGCTGCGGCGGGACGTGTGGAGGGAGGGAGCCCTTGACCTATTTTCTCTGGGCCCCCTGCCATGTGCAGGCAGGGACAGCTCTCCCTTGCCAGCGCTGCCAGTGCCCGCACCAGTGGGGAGGTGCCCATGGCATCCGCTGCCCCGGCACGGGGCTGCTCTCCTTTCCCCTTGCTGGGGAGGGCATGGGGCATCACCTGGAGCCGTCCACCCCCGGGTCGGGCTGGCACCACCGAGGGCTGACCCTCCAGCCTTCAGACTCTTCATTATGTCGGTACACAGCTGCTTCACCACCAGGTCCTGGTGCCTGTCCCCGTCACATCCTTACCACAAGATGCAGGCTAGATCCTGCTCCGAGAGTGGCTGCGGGCAGCGTTATCCTTCCTCCTCTTGCAACCTGGTGGGCTATAAGGGTTGGGTTTGAGGAACCCCATCTTAGCCTTCTAAATTTGGCCTCCTTTTTTTATTTAAAAAAAACCAAACCCACACCAACCCAAATCCTGACTCTCCAGCAAATTGCAAAGTGCGTTCCACGTGCGCTGGTGCAGTGTTGGCCGGCGGAGCCTGCAGACAGCTTGCAGTAGCTCTGGAAGGTGTGTGCTCTTCTGTTTATCAAATGAGTGTTAACTCTGCAGCCTTCTGTTGATGATTTAAATGTCATCATCGCTAACTATTTCCCTGCTGCTCAAAATGTGAAAGGGAAGCGATGGCCAGGAAAGGGAGCCCCTTCTTGAGCCTTCAGGTGGGCTTGCTGCTGGGGAAAGGCTTGGAAAAAAATACTCCTTTCCATGAGAAATCAGATGGTGCTTAAGATTGGGATACGCCGGGAGCAGCTAATCAGCCCCCAACACTGCCGTCAGCTCTGCAGGCGTTACGTGGGGAGACGGGAGGAGGGTGAGGTATGCTCCCCCTGCCCAGGGCGATGGAGCCGGGCATCTCCCGGAGCCCGCAGTGCTGCGATGGCCTCAAACAGGAGCTCAGGAGAGGCACAGGGCATGGATGAAGGAGAAGGGGAACAGCCTGCGGCAGAGCCGGGTCATGGCAGCTCCGGTGGGTGCCGTGGGGAGGTTTTGCCATCAGTGAGTGACTGGTATTCAATTTTCTGACGCTGGAACGTTTGCTTTGTTGGCTCGTTCCCTTGGTTACGTGGTATATATTAAGTTCTCCATTTGGCTTCCTTATGCAATTAACTGGCGTTCTGTTGCATGGATTTTGGAAACATAATCAGAGCTAAAACTTCATGGTCAGGCCTGGCTGACCCCAGCGTGCCCGGCCGGAGCAGGCTGCTGCCAGCACATGCCACGTCGGGAGAGCGCTGACACTGCTGGCTTTCAGGGAGCGATGCAAAAAACTGCTCAGCATTGGCAGCCCCGAGATTTGGGGAGCAGGGAGACCCCAAACTCACCTGCCCGGCAGCAGGGTGTCTGCTGGGGTTGCATGCCGGGGTGTCTCTGTGCCCCAGGCACTTGCCGACAGCAGCCGCTCGCTTGGCGGGGCTCACGCGCTGCTGGCTCTCTTCGCGGCTCACAGATTGTCAAAGTTTTCTGCACATCCCCATCCTGTAGGTATGTATGTGCTGTTCCTCTGCGGCCGTGGGTGTGCATATGGCTGGCTGTGTGGCAACTGTGTTGAATGCCAAAGCGGAGAGGACAATGTGTGTAGTAGCGAAGGGTGCCAGGAATCCGCGTTGCTGGAAAACCGGGGAGAGGCGACGCCGCGCCCCCACATACCGGGCTACCAACTGCAGAGACGAGATGAGCCCGGAGGCTGCAGCGAGGGTGGCTGCGAGGGCGGTGCGGGCCAGCACGCCGGCTCCACTCAGGATTAGTCAGTATGGTAGGATGCGAGGAGGGAAAGGCAACCCATGGCAGAGGGGCAGCCTGTGGCGAGGGAAGCGATGCCCCCTGCCCGCAGGAGCACGGCCCAGGGCGGTGCTGTGGCAGGAGGTGGCACCGACCGCGCATCCCCATCTCTCCGAGGCTGCCGGGGGTCCTGCTGGGGGTTAATCCCACCACTCTCAGTGCTTTGCTGCAGAGGGGTCCTGCTCAAGAGCTGACCAAAGCCTCTTCCGGTGTGCTGGGAGGATCAAAGCATCCGAATATTGGAGTATCTGGATGTCCCAATCCTGAGCTGTGCCCTGAAATCTTCCCGTGGCTGAGAGGCATCAGGCATGGAGCACATCTGAGGAGGGACAACCCCTCTCAGCCCATGTTCCCTGGAGCCCCCATTCCATCTCTCTGCTCTGGACTCTCCCCAACCTCATCCTTCTTGAAGCGCGGTATCCACAACAGGGTTTGGGATTGTTTTGGTCTCACCGGGGCTGAACCAGGCAGGGGATGAGGGTTGTGTGTGTCACAGGTGGTACAGCCCCATGCCAGATCCTGGCATGCAGAACTGCTCTCCCACCTGGGCACCTGATTATTCCCACCTGGAAAAACTCCCGTTTGCTCTTCCTACCCATAAATAGGGCCTCACAGCCACCTTGCTGAGTTTCCTTCCATGGTGTCAGATGATGGGTTTAGCATAAACGAGGTTTGCTGTCCCCTCCATCTAATGACTGTGGGGTTTTGGGGAATGGCCAGGCTGCACCTCTGCAGGCTGCTGAGTGTAACAGCTCTGGATTTTCCTATAGCCGAATGCTTTGCAAATCTTGCTAAATTTTAGACCTGATCTGTGGCCTGATCCTCATGACATGGAGTGAAGCTGCCGCCTTATTTTCCTGTGCATTATTGCTTATGGGGAAAATGGAAGTTTTTGACCTGCACATTTACCATTGCTTACTTTAGAGCCTACAGTCGCATCCCTTTTCTTTCAAGCCATTACGTTTCCCAGAGCCCTGCTTTGACACTCTGGGTATGGGAGATTTTTAAGCATGGGGTCAGTATGGTGTACAGCATTCAGACAGGCTACACCATTTTTTTTATTTAAGGGCATCACAATGTTTTCCCCTCTTACTGTGCCCCACACTCGCCTTTCGTTTCCTTTGCACCCAACTAATTTGGTAGAATAAATTATTCTGACTTCCCTGTTAACACAGTCATGCTACTAAGATTTAAAAGATATAAGCTGCTAAAGGTGTTTATTATGTTATTATGTACAGGCATTATTTTTTTCCTTTAAATGGACCGACCCCCTTTCTTCCTGCAGCAGTGAATTCCCGAGGTTAATTACATGCTGCGTAACAAAGGCGTTATTTCTTTTTGTGCCTTTGGTTGTGTTCCTTTTCATGGCTGGAGAAATGAGCTGGGAGAATAAAGGCTTTGCGCTGAAGTGCATTAAAGTCAGTGGGCTTTGGCTCATGCCCAGAAAGAAAAGCAGCGCACGGTTTAATTCCAGGGCAGGCTCAAGCGATTGCGTTTTAAGGTGGGTTGTTTTTTTTTTTTTCCCAGCGGTGCTGGTGCAGCTTTTAGGTTGGATTCTTGATATTCAGCTATCAGAGGGGAAAAGTAAATCCCCCGCCCTGGGACCGACACAGAGCTGTAACGCGCTATCTCCCTCTCCCCAGGTGAACGGCAGTGATGGGATGTTCAAATACGAGGAGATCGTCTTGGAAAGGGTAAGTCCTCTTTGCTCACCCGCCATCAGCCTTTGCTGCCTCTTCCCACTCACCCTCCCACCAGCGCAGCCGGTCCCCCCTGCATCCCCACGCCAGCTGACGGGGAGAGATGGCTCTCTGCTCCCTGCTCTCTCTGGAGGCTTTTGGGGGTGTCGCGCCTGCCTTCCCCGCACAGCCCCCACAGCGTGGGGAGAGGTGGGCTCGCTGCTCCCCCCGCATCCCGCAGACCCCTCCAGAAGGGAGGGAGAGGGCTTCTCCCTCATTCGCACCCTCACCCCCACAAACCCGCCAGCACAGGAGCTTGGGAGGGGGAAAGGGGGGGACGCTCTTTGTCACCGCTTTTGCTGGAAAATGGGGGTGCTCATGCAGGCAGGCGAGTGGGCGCAGCCCACAGCTGGGCACGGGGGACCAATGCCTCCCCACCACTGGAGTCCCCATCACTGCAGGGTACACAGCCTGGGAGTGCTAAACATCAAAGACGGGTTTTCTAGTAAACCGGACTGCGACGGGGGGAGTTTCTACTCGAGCCTTTTCTTGTCTGATGGCGTGCACCACACCGGCCATGGCTAAAATTACCTGGGGTGCCAGCTGGCACCGTGCAGGGTGGGCTTTCCCCTGGCACCTGGGGAGCAGCAGGGGTGGAGGGATGGAGAAGGAGTGGGAAAAGCTGGCCCAGGGTTTGCTCGGAGAGGTGGGCACAGCCGTGCCGAGTGGGGGTGGCCGGGGAGGGAGGATGGCCGTGGCACTCCACGGCACACCTTGCCTCCTCCTCCTCACTGCCGCGACGGGTGGCTCGGCTTTGCCGCGTGGCCGGCGTCGCAGGGGAAGGCGCACCGCTCGTTATTCTGTTCCTCTCTGCCTTTAGTCATCTCCCTCCTCCCCTTGGCTCTGCATCATGGAGGTGGGTGGACGGAAGGTTATCTGGGGCTGCCGCCTCACCCACTGCTTCCCCAGCGTGCCTGACGAAACCGGCCCAGGGGATGCTTCCTTTTTGGGCTGAGTGCTTCTTGCTCCAGGCCCAATTTAGAGGCAAAAGCCTTGTTTTCAGATGCTTCACAGCATCCTCTGTCCTCAAGCCCACAGCAGGAGCAAGGGGGGAGCTGTCAGGGTCGCACGGAGAGGCAACACTCGTTGCTGCCCCCATTTCAAAGCCGCAGGCAGCGATTGCCTCTCCAGCAGTGTGAAACCATGAGGGAGTTTCAGTGCGTAGCAGCCAAGGCCAGCACGAACCTTACCCACGTCCTTCCCTCAGTCCCCAGTGGGATCCAACATCCCCATCTTACTGCAGGAGAACCACTCCGGTGCCTCCAGGTGAGTCTGCCCCCTTGCTGGGGTGTTTGGCTCACAGAGATGACCCCAGAATTGCTGGTCTGTCACTGTTATCAATCCTTGTCCTTGTCGTAAAGGCAAGGGCAAATGCAGCAGCATCGTGGGGGCAATAACTGAAGAAACGGCGTCTGCAGAGGGACGTGGCTTTGGGTTTACCCACCATACATGTGTCTGCAGCAGGAGCTGTCCCCGTGTCTACATCAACCCCGATGGCAGCTGAGAAATCCCTTGAGCTCCATATTGAGGCTTATCAAAATAAAAATAAACACCTCTCGGATCATTTCCAGGTTTTGTAGCAGAGCACGCCCTTCTGTAGACGAGCACAACGAATGGCTGGAGACCATTTTGCACAGTCTCACCTGCCTTGCTGGGGCCAGGCTGGGTCCCCGGTGACAGTAAGCAGCTTTTTTTGAGCTGGGCACAGGGTAACCAGAATCCAGCTTAAAAAAAGGAGAGCGACCGCAGGCTGCTGTGGAGTGCCTGCTCGTCACGTGCCGGCCAAATCCCAGCCGGCAGGAGAGCATCCAGGAGCACTGCGTAGATGCCATGTGCTGTGTCATGAGTGGCATAAAGTCTGAGCGGAGACTTCCACATCGCCACAAGAGCTGATGCTGAGCCCAAATTGCTGGGCAGAAGCATGAGCCCCAGCCTGCTGCTGATGCTAGATGATCGCAGGGACCCTGAGCTCAGGTGTGGCCCTCCCAGCCACAGGTCCCCCAGAGCTCCCCATCGCCTAACGCCGAGCACTGGGGCTGTGGGCAGCTGGGAGAGTGCTTGGCCCGAGCCTGTTTGTGTACGAGAGAGGTGGGCACGATAGGATGTGACTAAGTGTCAGCTCTTCCGTATGAGAAAACAAGGCGAGGAGCCATCTGATTTTCAAGGCAGAGCAGAAAAAGCAGGAATTGTCCACTTGCATCAGGCATGGAGCTGGAAGCAGCGCCTGTGAGTGTGTCACTGCTGGGGATCCTGCAAGCAGGAGAGGCGGCACAGGGCTGTGGCCACTCATCCTGGGATGCTGCCAGGATGGGGCTGGAGACGTGGCACAGCCTCTGCCTTCCCCCCGGGCAGACTTCAGTAGGATGAAACTCAAGTGATGCTCCGAGCATGTCTGGGAAGAAGAAGAGGCAGAACTGGAGACCCCACTCCATCCTGACAGCCCCCTCCACCCAATCCTGCAGATTTTCACATCAGCACTGCTGGTCCCTGGGTTGGCTTCGTGCTGGGGCTGCATCCCAGGGGGCAGAGGGGCAGGCGTGGGATGCTGGTGACAGGTCCTGGGGAGCAGCCAGCAAGGGGAGGTTTTCTCCGCCAAGGACCACCCCCTCTTCCCCCAGCTCGCCGCCTGCCTCAGAGTCTCTCAGCGGAGACGCGGCAGCGAGGGAGGTCCTCAGCGGCTCCCACTCTCCTGCTCCATCTGGTCGGTGCTCCGTGCTGCTGCACCGAGCGCCTTGGCTGATGAGTGCTGGCCTCCCCTCCGGCCGCACATCCCTCTGCCCCCTGAGCCGGGCACCCTGGGGAGCGACAGATGCTGTAAGGGCTCCCGCACCCCGGACAGCCGCGCTGAGAACGGCTTCGGGAAGGCCAGCAGCAAGCCCTCTCTGCAGGGGAAAGACGCGGTGTTTGATTTCCCGCAGGGTAACTCCGGCCTCGGCTTCAGCATAGCGGGAGGAATCGACAACCCCCACATTCCAGATGACCCAGGAATCTTCATCACCAAAATCATCCCCGGGGGAGCGGCAGCCATGGACGGCCGTCTGGGGTGAGTGTACTGGGCTGAGGGAGCAGCCCCATCAGGGTGTCACCCGGGATCTCCCCAGGGACCCTCTAGGCAGCTCCTTGTCCCCCTCCCCTGCCATGGTCCTTTCCCCCCTGCCCCAGGTCCCTTCCCCGCAGCCAGGTCCCCTCCGTGCAGGGATGCCCATGATCCCCTGCCACCAGCCACCCCTCTTCCCCTCCCTGTGCCAGGCTCCAGCTCCCATCCTTCCCCCTGCAGCCCAGGGCAGGATCCAGCCTTTCCCCTCATCTTTCATCTCCACCAGGGTCACAGCGTGGTGACCAGCCCCACCGCCTCCCCCTTTGGGAGGGACCCCGCTGTCACCCCGGCAGGGCAGGATCTGGCCAGCTTGAGCCGCTCTCCTTCGCACAAGGGTCTGTGCAGCCAGAGGAGGGTGCCAGAGGTGCCTGGAGGAGGGTGGCACAGGGCTGGCGGTTCCCCAAGGGAGCTCAGGGACGCCCTGTGCCCGCAGGGTGAATGACTGCGTGCTGCGGGTGAACGATGTGGACGTCTCCGAGGTGGTGCACAGCAAAGCCGTGGAGGCTCTGAAGGAAGCCGGCCCCGTGGTGCGGCTCGTGGTGCGCCGCCGGCAGCCCCCGCCAGAGACCATCATGGAGGTCAACCTGATGAAGGGCCCCAAAGGTGAACCCCTCGCTCTGCTCGCAGGACTGGGGTGCCCCGCTGCCCCACGGGATGGTGTGGGGTGACCGCTCTGTGTGGGGTGCAAGGCAGCATCACAGGGATGTGGGATGTGAGGTGGCAGCGCCACAGTGCAGGGTGTCGCAGGGTGGCCCAGCAGCGGGGGACACTATGGGGCACAGGGTATGGGGCAGCCCCAGGGTGCAGCACCCGGTGGGTGGGCTGTCCCCATGCAGCAGCAGGGTGGCCCGTTGTCTGCTGGGTTTGGGGCAGGGTGGGAAGCCCAGTGAAGGCAGGGGGGCCATGGGGACAGCCCAGGGCTCTGTCCATCTGTCTGTCCCTCACCCCTCACCTGCCCTCTCGCTCCCCCTCAGGCCTGGGGTTCAGCATCGCGGGGGGCATTGGGAACCAGCACATCCCTGGGGACAACAGCATCTACATCACCAAGATCATCGAGGGGGGCGCTGCCCAGAAGGATGGGCGCCTGCAGATCGGGGACCGACTGCTCGCGGTAAGCCCCATGCTCGCAGATGTCTCTGCCGTGCCACAGCGCCGATCCTGAACCCCAGCACCCCTCCCTCCAGCAGCCCCTGGGGTCCCTGCTGGGATGGGGCTGTGGGAGGGCACCGGCTGCAGGCGGGAGGGCCAAACCCATGGAGATGGGACCCTGTTGGCACCTACCCCACGGGAAACTGTGCTGCTCCCACCGGGCTGCATCGGCCCCTGCCCTCCAGCCTGCGGCCATGTCACCCAGCCCCTTCCCTCCGGCAGGTGAATAACACGAACCTGCAGGACGTGCGGCACGAGGAGGCAGTGGCCGCCCTGAAGAACACCTCTGACATGGTGTACCTGAAAGTGGCCAAGCCTGGCAACATCCACCTCAACGACATGTACGCGCCCCCCGACTACGCCAGCAGTACGTACGCCACCAGCCACAGGCACAGCAGCCCGGGCAGTGCAGGGCTGGGGGGCACGGAGCGTGCCGGGGCAGTGGGCAACACTGGACTGGTCTCTGCATCTGTGTTGTGGATGGATTTCTGCTCCTGATGCCTTTCTCCTTCCCTGCAGCCTTCTCAGCCTTGGCTGACAACCACATAAGCCATAACTCCAGTCTGGGCTACCTGGGCAGCGTTGAGAGCAAGCCTGCCTACCCCGTCCCTCCCCAGGTGACTCCGTCGCGGTACTCTCCCATCCCTCGGCACATGATTGGGGACGAGGACTTCACAAGGTGAGTACCGGGCATGAGCATCCCTAATCCCTGCTCCTTCTCCTTCCCTCTCTCCCTCCCTGGCTGCTTGACCGCATCCCCGCTGCCAGTGCAGAGCCTCGGCCGAAAGCCTTTTTGGGGGTGCATGGTACAAAGCTTGGGGCCCCCACAGTGAGCTCTGTGCTGACCCCCGCTGAGACCAGCCCTGCTGTGTCGCTCGCTGCATCCCGCCCTTTCCCCTTCCCCCTCCTCCTCCTCCCTGAGCCTTACACATCTGCATTTTGGCTCCTTTCTCTTACTTGCTTTACAATACCTGGTGTTCCCTGCCCTTGCAGTGCCACCCGGTGCAAGGCTGTGAGCAGGCTGTCCCCAAGCGAAGTTGTGCTTGGGGATGAGGGGCTGGAGGGGGAGACACAGCTCTGGGTACAAGTAGGGCTCCTCCTCCCACGCTCCCCGAGCCCAGCATCCCAAAACACCTGCACCCAGGTGCCATTTCGCTGGCTGCCAGCCCCGGGCTTGACAGCCTCCTGCACAGCCCTGGCACGGCCGCCTTTTCCCCACTGGCATCATTTACGCTGCACGAGCAGGTTTGTTTCCTGAACCCAGGAAATAAAGAGGAGCACAAAGGAGTCATTGCTCTGAGCCTAAAGGCAGTGTAAAACTTCTCCAAAGCCTCAGGCTGAGCACAGGAGAGCAAGACCTGGCTGGTCCTGCTCTGCTTATCCAGGGTCACAGATTTCCCTCTGCTCGCATCAGCCCTGGGGCCAGTGCTGAGCCCGCTCTGCGTTTAGTACCCCCAGGGCCAGGGCTGTAGGGCTCAGGCTGTATTCTTGGGACTGACACTTGGGTTAGGCTTAGGGCTGGCTCTGCGGTTAGGAGCGAGGTCGCAGGCTGATTTCAGGGTTGTGTTTGCCATGGAGGATGCCGGAGCCACGGCTGGGCTTGTCACGTTCTGCGGGGCACTGGCGGATGCCGGAGTGGGAAACCCTGACTTGCGTCAGGTCCACTGTCCTCCCAGACAGTGGCTGCACTCGCCTTTGTCACAGGGATTTCTCGCTACTTGGTGCTCAGTCGCAGCCGGGTCCCTCTGTGTGCCGTGACCAGCACTGGCCTCTGTCCACAACCCATCTCTCCCACCTGGTCTCGGCACCAGCGATGCTGGCTCTACAGCCTGTTCCCAGCACTGCATCCTCACTGGGTGTAGCAACTTCTGTGCTATCAGGGCACCGGGGGACGATGCCACACAGAGGAACAGTATTTTCTGCAATTACATTGCAGCACAGAAGGGACTGAGTCCCAGTGCTGGGAAAACAGACCATCTGTCTCTCGTCAGGGACCCCGGTCCCACCAGGGCGTCCCTTCCTACGCGCACCGACGTCCTTATTTGCGGGCCAGAGAGAGGAGAGAGCAGCCTAGCCTGGGCTGGCCATGGCCCAGTGGCAATGGCATGGCGACGGCTCAGTGGTGGCTTGGCAGTGGCCCTGGTGCAGCACGTGCTGGTGGCCACTAGAGGATGGTGCTGCCTTGCAGAGGGCCCCGCCGCAGACAGGCTTGTACGGCTCTGTCACTATCCCCAGCCACAGCCTCCTGCTCCCTGCCAGATTTGCAGCCTGCAGTGGGCTCAGCACCTCCTGCATCCATCCCGCGGCAGCCCCGAAATCCTCATGTGCATCACCGACCTCCCCAGGACAGCTTCGTCGCCATGGGTCTGTTGGCTCATGCATCACCAAGATTGTGCACTGGGACCAGTGTTGTCCATTGCATCTTACTGGTGCGGGGAAAGGCAGCGACTCCGCTGGAAAGCAGCTGTCTCCCAGGAGGCTCTGGCCAGCCATTTCCTAAGAGAAGCAGAGGTCCTGGGCTGGATCCACTATCAAGCCTCTTCTCTTCCTGCAGGCACAAGTGCTGCTGCAGGTGTGGATGTGGCTCCAGTGACCCTCGTATCCTGCAGCACCCAGTGCCAAGGACCAGAGCATCTGTTTTCCAATGAGTTCCACCACAGCAACCCAGACCCAGCACAGCCCCACAGGATCCCCGCAGTCACTCTGTGCCAAGGTCCTGGTGTTAATGCTGCAACATCCAGCTGCCTGCGGGATCCGTGTCCTGCCTCCCGGGATGAGGATGGGAGCGGAGAGTGCATGTCATGACTGAGACCTGAGATGTACCTGTTGGGCTTCATTTCTTCTCCTCGGTTCCTGTAGCATCTCTACCTTCCACCAACCCACCTGGTCCTCGGGGGTGCTGGGGATGCTTCACACCATGCCAAGTTGGGGTGGCGGTTCCTGCACTCTGCTTAGGCAGCAGCAAAACACAAGGGGCAGAGCAAGTTCATCAGCTGGGTGGAGGCAGGGTTTGCAGACCCCGAAACCTGACCCATTTATTCCCCTGGCAGAGCTCTAGCCCCAGGCACAGCTTTGCTGCAGGGGGACTGATGGCTGCAGCCCTCTCTGCCCCCTCACAACCCCCCTGAGCCAAGTGCTGGTGGCATCCTGAAGACTTGAGGTTTGAGCTTCTTTTGACCCCAATGGAGTTCCTGTGGTGTTTCTCTGGTCTCTTCCTGGGCCTGGTGCATCCCAGCCCCATGCTATGGCCCCGCTTGGCTCGGAGCTCGAACGCATCCAAAGGTCGTTAGGGTAAAGCAGGTATTTTCTGGAGGTCACAAGGTAGATTCAGCCTCTGATCCATCAGAAATGGAGTTGCGACTTGCCGTACCTCTGCGTTTGAAGGCAAGGGGCTGCAATGGGGTGCATGGGGCTGCAATGGGGTGCGTGGAGCTGCAGGCATGGGGAGCCAGGCTGCGAATTTGCCCTTGCTTGGGTGCTCCCCCGCATCAGGGCTGCGCTGTGCATGCCTGCAGGGGCAGGAAGGAGTTAAGTCTGTAGGGTCTAGCAGAGCGAAGCCTGCGTCCTTTCAGCGCTTCCATAAAAAACCCTGCGTGTGGGTCGGGGAAGCTGCTGGCCCTGCAGCCAGCAAGAGGCAGAGACAGGCAGCACAGGACGGCCGTGGCGCGGAGCATTCGGAACATTCCTGCCCCTCGTGCCTCCCAGCCACCATCGCGCCGCAATGTTCACCGTCAATGTCTCATCGTCCATGTCCTACAGGGGACAGCCGTCTCTGTCCCCTTCCAGGCAGCGGCGAGATCACAGGAGCAAGTGTGACCAGAGGTAGGGGACTGGGATGCTGCTGTGCCTGGTGGGAGGTGCGGGGACAGGGAGAGGAGCAGCTGGGACAGCTGGGAGGGTCGGCTTGTGCTGAGCCTGGGGTCTGGGCAGAGCAGGAGCCCACCAAGACCTTCTTGCAAGGCATCCTGCTCGTCTGCCTGTCCGTCTCCTGCTCCTATTGCTCCTTATAAGGTGGTTGCCTGGAGCTAAGTGACATTCAGCCCATCAGGACTCTCCCACGGGGAAGGATGGTGGGAGACTTTTCCTGGGGTGCTGGCACGTGACCCTGGATGTAAATGCTGCTGCCTGCATCCGTGAAGGTGCCAAAACCTTCTCCCATCCAGTGGCAGTGATGCTCCAGCCCGGCCCAGGGGGTTGAAAAAGATGTTTTCTTCCAAGAGCGGCCTGGGCACACACTGCCAGGCTGCAGAGCTTTGTGCTGCCTGCTCAGTCAAACTTCATTCCTCTTCGTCCCCGCTCCAGTCTTGCCACCTGAGCCCCACTCCTTCCCTGGCTGTTGCCAGCAGCCATGGGGGGCGGGTGGGCCGGCCGCCCCGGTGCCTCCGGTTCCCCTTAGCACAAATCTGTCGATGTTTTAGGGTCCACCACAGGTGGCATTGGCCAGTGCCATGCCTGATGCTCCAGCATGTCTCTTACAGCATCCCGGAGATCTCTCTCTGCTCCCTGGCAGGCGCGGGGTTGATCAGGCTGCTGAGCGCACTGGCAGGTCCTCAGTCCTTGCAGTACCTGCCAGAGCACCCAGGATCAGGCCCATCACAACAGCCAATGCGCTGATGGTCCTCAGCGTGGTGTTGGCTTACAGTCACCACTAGCCTGTGCTAATTGTCTGGCGTCATTTATTCATTCTTATTTTAATCCAGGGCTTGAGCTGGGAGCTGCTGTTGTTCCCATCAGACTTGGGTTTTTTTTTCCCAGATGAAAATTGACGCAGGATTTTTGCGATGCCACGCAGTCTTTCTGCCTTTGCCTCCCTATTGTTTGAGCTGCGAACGAATTAAGTCATCATCAAAAAATTCAGGCCTTCTGTTCAGCCAGGCAGGGCCCTGTGGCGTGGGGGTGCGTGGGGTTGCGGGCATACTCACCGTGCTGCATGGCTGCGGAGATGCTTGATCCCTCACTCCTGGCACGGCCATGCCATCCTCGGTGCCCGGATCCTCGGATGCTCATGGCATCCGATGCCGTCTTGCAGTCTGATGTTTCTGGGAGTGATTTCACGGCAGATGCTCTGTCTCCATCCATGCTCTGTCTCATGTCACTCGTGCAACTGCCCGCACCTCCCAGTTTATCAGCCTCATTGGTGCTGAGGGCTGAGTCGCACCAGGTCGCACTCAGGATGACTCCAGCCCCATCAGTGTGCGGGGAAGCCCAGGCAAAGCTGACCCTGTCACCAGCTTCACTGTTCCTCACCCTGATGTCTCCCTGTCCTGTGTCTGTCCATCCAGGGAGCCCCGGAAAATCATCCTGCACAAAGGCTCCACTGGCCTGGGCTTCAACATTGTTGGCGGGGAAGATGGCGAGGGCATCTTCGTGTCCTTCATCCTGGCCGGAGGCCCTGCCGACCTCAGCGGGGAGCTGCGACGGGGAGATCGCATCCTCTCGGTGAGTTGGCAGGGTCTCCCGCAGCCCTGGGCAGGCACCCGTGGGGCATCTGTCCCCTGCCACCGCAGACGCCGCGTGGCAGGGTCCATCCCCGTGCGTAGAATTGGAGCAGCTGCCTGCTCGGGATCTGCCCTGCGGTGGAGCAGTGGCC